AAATGCGGTACGCCGAATCGCTCTAAAACGTAAATTTATCCGATGTTTTCCGCGAACCCTCCTCCCTCTCATCTCTTCTCGTTTTCGGTTATTTTTCACGGCTATTATTAATTTTTTTATACTGGCTTAAAGTTAATATATCTCGAATTTTCGAATTTAGGGTTATCCCTTTACTTTACAAACTTCGTGAGTTCTACCTGCGGGGTACGTACAACGTAGGAGTAAAATTTTGGGCCTCCGGATATAAAGGTCTCTATGTAACTACCTTGACCATGGTTTCTCAAGCTCATTCGTCATATCATCCAAAAAATTGCCCGTACGCGGTTTGTACTCATTGGGGTCACCGGTGCTCACATATATACAGGAATCGGTGTCATAATACAAGGTGCACGATTTATCTGAAGACATTGAAATATCTCGAGAACTATGTATTGGATAAAAAAAAGTGGTTAATGAAAGTTGTCTCGAAGGGGGACTGTTCGGAACTAGCCCGAACATATGATAGCTCCGGAGAGCTGGCTGGAAGTACGGATCGCAGAGCGACGTCCGCCTGCGTCTAGGCTCGCTCGAGTCCGCTCGGTGACCGTCCGGTCGTCCTGATCAAAGGCCGGGGCCTCGCAAGGCGACCACAGACCCTGCTGATCAGGCAACGTCGCGCGCCGACTGGGCCATGCCCAGGGACGGCGGCGAGAACATGAGAGAAGAAGCACGCGCACGTGCCGACGTAAAGTGACACGCAGTGTAAACGCAATGGACGCAATAAACGCAGTAGTAACGCAGAAGAGAATAACGCAGAAGAACGACGCCGAAGAACCTAAACGTAGCTATATACAAGCGAAACAACGTCGCCTACGCAAGTCCCGCAGGACACACGTCCGTGACGTCAACGGTGCGCGGCACCCGAAGCACGCCAAGGACGTGCAACGAAACGACCTCCGTCGTTTCGGATGGCCTGCCCTTCCGGGCGTACTGGCCAATAGCCAGCCACGGTCCCGAGGACGCGTGGAAACGGAGCTCCGAGAGCTCCGGCTCGCAGGACGACCACGTCGCTCCTGCGAGAAAGCCAAGTTCCAATGGACACTTGGACGAAGGAGCGCGAACGCTCTAGGACTGCGACCGAGCCGCTCCAAAACCGCCAAGGCCCCCTACGGACACTTGGGCAATAAGAGAGCTCGAAGCTCCGAGGAGACGGTCGAGTCGCTCCTAAGATCACGGCAACGCCGTGAGTCCGAGATCACAAAACGAATTCGAACCATTTGCCTCAACCCAGCAGGGTGTATCGGCGCCACCTTCAACTCAGCAGAGTCTATAGAGCAGTGGTTCGAATCTGAACGAAATACCGATCGCCCTAGGAAGCGCGTCGGTAATCACCAGTACACGATGTACTAACGCGTAGCACTACTTGCTACCTAAACTGGCCAGGCAGAAGACAAGACAAGGCCAGGCCCAGGCATCGCGCGCCTGGTTATATATCCGGGCGGTCGAATCTTGCCCGCGGGCAGCGGAATCGCGAGCCGCGCCGTGTAGCGGCCGCGGTTGGACCTAGTGGGGGTCCCGCGCGCTCGCTCGCGAGAACCCGAGTCCCCCGCTGCCAGCGAGAACGCCCCGGGCACCAGGCCGCCCGCCCTGCAGCGTTGACTCGCACCGACTATCCGTACAGCACGTGATGCTGTACGGAACATACCGCCCGCCTCCGTCGCGGCGACGGAAGTCAGTGGTGGACAAACCCCCACCAGGAAGGCCCCACTCGCGGCCTGGCGGCCGTGAGGGCCTGTTGATCCCCTTCATGTTGAAGGTTGATTGGGATGAGCCCCTTTCGGATCCACAGGGAGCCTCACCAGCTTGACCAGTGGCCGGGTCAGGGTCGAGTCCGCTGTGCGCACCTGCGCCACGCGGACGTGCCCATCCGGGCCAGGCAGCAAGCCGGTGATGCGGCCGAGAGGCCACCGGGTAGGAGGAAATCGGCTGTCCGCCAAGAGCACGAGGTCGCCGATGTCTAACGGACGAGAAGCGATGAGCCACTTGCCTCGGACCTGGAGCTGGGCTAGATATTCTCTAGACCATCGCTCCCAAAGATGCTCCGTCATATGCTGGAGCAGCTGCCAGCGACTCATCCTCGCGACCTGAACGTCCCCGAGGGATCGCTCAGGCGGACACAACAGCGGGCGCCCAATCAGGAAGTGCCCAGGTGTCAGGGCCTCCAAGTCCTGTGGGTCGTCCGTCAACGGACACAATGGCCTGGAGTTGAGACAGGCCTCAATGCGAGCTAGAAGAGTGGCGAACTCCTCATAGGTCAGTGCCTGCTCTCCTATTACCCGTCGCAAGTGGTGTTTGACGGACCGCACTCCTGCCTCCCACAGTCCGCCGAAATGCGGAGCTGAAGGAGGCATGAACTTCCAGGTGATGCCCTGGTTACTCAAGGAGGCCGCGACTGGTCCCCCCAACGCCATGACCGCCTCAAATTGTCCTCGCAGCTCGCGGTCCGCACCCACGAATGTGGTCCCCCTATCGCTGTACACGGTAACCGGCAGGCCCCGCCGGGCCGCGAAACGATGAAAAGCCGCTAAGAAGGTCGGGGCCGAATAGTCACTGACCACCTCCAAGTGGACAGCGCGCGTGCTGAAGCAGACGAAGACAGCAATATATCCCTTGGAGGTGGTACGTCCGCGTCCTCGAGACGGACGCACCGCGACCGGTCCAGCATAATCCACCCCGGTGGCAGAAAACGGTGGATGAGGCAACACCCGATCGCGAGGCAGCGGAGCCATGAACGGGGTGATCGGGGTGCCCTTATGACGTGTGCAGCGCACACAGCCCCGGATCACCTGGCGCACGAAAGAGCGCCCAGCCGGAATCCAGAATTCGCGCCTCACGGTGAGCAACGTAAGCTGCACTCCCCCGTGCAGCGTGCGTTCGTGCGCATCTCGCACAACGAGAGTCGCGAGCCGAGAGCGTCGCGGTAGCAGGACTGGCTGCCGTGCATCGATCGGTAACGCTGAGAATTGCAGGCGGCCCCCCACCCGCAAGAGGTCCCGCTCGTCCATCATGGGGTTGAGTGGCCGCAACGCCGATCTCACCATCAATGCTCCCCCCCGCTTCAGACGGCCCAATTCCTCCGCGAAGAAGCGGTGCTGCGTAACCCGCAGCAGGCGCAGTCGAGCTTCACTCAGCTCGTCCGCCGTTAAGGGTCCACTGATCCGTGGGACTCGCAGGAATCGTCGTACATAGGCCATCACGCGGATGGCCTTGCGGAAGGAGCATGCTCGGAGGACACCGGACCAGTCCTCCGGGTTCACGGCCACTACGTGAACCATGCGCCGTTCCTCGCAAGTGCTCGGTCGCTCGCGACGCAAGTTAGACCCGGCCAGCCCGCCGGGTCCTCGACAAGCCAGGAGGGCCACGCCACCAAAGGGCGTGTTCTCGTAGCCCGCCGGCCAACAAACCCCGGGAGGCGCAATCCGCGGGATTGTCGCCGGACGGGACATGCCGCCACGAGGCCCGCGGAAGGCTCTCGTGAATGTACGAGACGCGATTGGCGACAAAGGTGGTCCATCGAGATGGATGCCCTGTTATCCAATGGAGCGTGACAGAGGAGTCGGTCCAACAAACCAGGGAGGCCTCGGCACAACCGAGCGCCTCCACAATGGCCTTCATGAGGCGCGAGAGCAGCTGCGCACCGCACAGCTCCAGGCGGGGCAACGTTACCCGCTTTAGTGGGGCGACCCTGGTCTTGGACGCCAATAGAGCGATACGGGTGGTCCCATCAGACCGTCGAGCCCGTAAGTAGATGACGGCGGCGTACGCCCGCTCCGAGGCGTCCGAGAAGCCGTGAAGCTGGATCTCCACTTCAGGCGACCATCCGGTCCAGCGAGGAACTCGGATCGCGGAAACCTCCGCGAGCCCGGTGCTAAAGGCGTCCCAACGTCGCGAGAGCGGAGAAGGGAGAGCCTCGTCCCAACCGAGCCCGGCCAACCACAAGTCCTGAAGGAGGATCTTCGCCAGTACTACCATAGGCCCCAACCAGCCCAGGGGGTCGTATAATCGCGCGACGACTGACAAGATGCCACGCTTCGAGATGGCTGATTGAGCCCCGGGGTTGACCGAAAAGCAGAATGCATCCTCGACTGGAATCCAACCGACCCCCAGCACAGATGCACCCACGGCCCCAGGGTCCGGCAGAGGCACCAAAGGCTCGCGGTCCCCCTCCGGGATACCGGACAAGAGTTCCGGATGTGAGGCCGCCCACTTCCTGAGTCGGAACCCGCCCGCCATGAGCAAGCTGCTCAGCTCACGCTGTCGACTGCGTGCCTCCCCAAGGTCATCTGCCCCCGCAAGAATATCGTCGACGTAGGTTTGTCGACGAAGTAAGTCTGCTGCCCGGGGATAACGTTCCCGCTCATCCAGCGCCAGCTGGTGCAGCGTGCGGATGGCCAGATAAGGAGCGCACGCCATGCCATAGGTGACCGTGGTCAACCGGTACACCGATATTGCCTGCGTCTGGCTGTCTCGCCAGAGAATCTGTTGGAGGTGTTGATCCTCCGGAGCCACCCGCACTTGACGAAACATTTGCTCGATGTCTGCAGAGAAGGCCACTCGATGCATGCGCCAGGCGAGTAGAATCTCGCCCAGTTCTCGCTGTAAGCGCGGCCCCACGTGCACCAAGTCGTTCAACGACCGGCCATTGGTGGACGCCTGCGAGGCGTTGAACACCACTCTTACCTTAAGCTCGGGGGCTTGTTTAATCACCGGGTGATGTGGAATAAAGTAAGAGGGCCGCGGAGTCTCGCCATTGAGCGGCAGGCGGATCATATGCCCCTGTCGTTCATAGTCATCAAGAAAGTCGCGATAGGCCCCGCCCAAGGAAGGCTGCCGAAGCAGTCGCCGCTCCAAGCGATGCAACGAGGCAGTGGCAATCCGCCGAGTGTCGCCGAGAGACAGCGCAGTCGGAGGGCTCCTGAAAGGCAACCGCACCTGATAGCGGCCGTCCGCATGACGCCGAAAGGACGCCGCGAAAAACTCTTCACAAGCCCGCTCCTCTTCAGAGAGCGGGGAAGCAACCGGAATCTCCTCCACCTCCCAGAAGCGCCGCAAGAGATCCGCCATGTTGTCCGACGCACACTGCACCACATGACAATGAGAGCCGCCCGCTGCGGCGGTAGACGGGAGAGCCCCGAACAGCACCCACCCCAAGCGGGTACGCTGCGCGACGGGAGCTCCCCGTGGGCCCCGGCGAAGCCCCGTCAACACGATCTCGGCGAATACCTCCGCTCCAAGTATCGCCTCGATGCGCTCGTCATCATCGTGATCATCCGCCAACCGGAGGTTCCTCAAATGCGACCACTTCCCCGTCAGCCGAGCCCTCTGCGGGGGGTGGTACGCCGTAAGCCTCGGTAGAATGAGGGCCTCCACCGTGGTGGAGAACGGGAGGCCAGCAGTTGCTCTGAGCCGCAATGACGTGCTGGCCCGCACCCGCTGAGGGGGTCCCTCTGAGACGCCCGACAGCCCAACATCCACCGATCTACGAGACGCGCGCAGCCGCTGCGCAAGCGCCTCGGACACCAGGCTCACCTCAGAGCCCTGGTCAATGAGCGCTCGAACCACAGCGGATCGGCCATCGGACGCCATCAGACAAACCCTGGCCGTGGCCAAAAGCACTCGCTGCGCAGGCATCCGCGTCGCAGCATGCGCCGTGACCGGCGCTTCCCCCGACGCCGGGGCCGGAGACTGCTGGGCGGAGTGCAGAAGTGAATGGTGCGGCTCTCCGCACTCCCGACATCGACCCTTAGACGGGCAAGCGGCCGCCTGGTGCGACGGACCGAGGCAGTTGAAGCACAACCCGAGAGCGCGCACCCTTGCCCGTCGCGAAGAGACCGGCCGATCTTTAAAGGCCGAACACTCCCTGAGTCCATGCTCAGAACCGCACTCAGCGCAACGGGTCGGCTTGGGCCGATGGAGATGCAGCGATCGTCGACCAGTCCGCTCGGATGCCGATGAGGCACGGGGGCTGTCCCCAATGGACGGAGCCGCGGCAACCGCCTCGAGCGCCACCCGACGCTCGTCCAGGAAGACTGCCAGTCTGTCCCAGCTCACTGGCTCGCGCCGGTCCGCGGTGGCCATCTCCCAGGCCCGCCGCGTTGCAGAGTCTAGCTTGGAACGGAGGATATTGACCAATATCACGTCCCAAGCATCCACTGGCTGGTCAAGAAGGCGCAAGGCGGCTCGCAGCTCGCTGGCTCGATCCAGCAGCCTCCGAACCTCGGAGACGCTCTCCTGACGCATCGGGCCAATATCCCGGAAAGCGTCGAGATGCTGGTCCACAAGCAAACGACGGTTATCGTACCGTGCACATAGCGCTTCCCACGCTTGCTCAAACGAGCCAGTAGCGACGCCGTAGTGCCGGAGCAGACGTTCAGGCTCTCCCGACACGCTCTGTTTTAAATAATGCATCCGGTGAACTGATGCTAACGACGGGTTATCGACTATTAAGGACTCGAAGAGATCCTTAAAATTGCGCCATTCGTCAAACTTCCCTTCGAACTTCGGAATGGGAATGCGAGGCAACGAAGCCTCGGGCACTACCGCCTGCGCGGGAACTGCGTGAGCAGCCGACTCAGCCTCCTGAACCTTCAACCCATCGAGCAGGGTTTGGATTTCTGCGCGCTGCGCAATGTAGACTTCCTGTACCGTGCCACAGGCATCCTGTTGCACGTAGTCTGACTCTCGCACGGTCTTGAGGCGAGACGCTCGGATCGTGCGATGATCATCCTGGAACTGAGCCCAGTACGTGTCGAGAACCTGCAAACGAGACGTCAACCCGCCAACTGACTTCAGTTGACCGGACTTGCGTGCATTGTCCAGCAGCCGCTCCATGCGGTGCTGCCGGTCGTATTGCAGCTCGATGAGCCCAAGAATGTCCTCCTCCTTAGACATAACGGAGCCCGAGCTAAACAAACCGACCCAGGTCCGAGACTACCGCTCCCGATCCGGCTCGAAGGACCAAAATTATGTTCGGAACTAGCCCGAACATATGATAGCTCCGGAGAGCTGGCTGGAAGTACGGATCGCAGAGCGACGTCCGCCTGCGTCTAGGCTCGCTCGAGTCCGCTCGGTGACCGTCCGGTCGTCCTGATCAAAGGCCGGGGCCTCGCAAGGCGACCACAGACCCTGCTGATCAGGCAACGTCGCGCGCCGACTGGGCCATGCCCAGGGACGGCGGCGAGAACATGAGAGAAGAAGCACGCGCACGTGCCGACGTAAAGTGACACGCAGTGTAAACGCAATGGACGCAATAAACGCAGTAGTAACGCAGAAGAGAATAACGCAGAAGAACGACGCCGAAGAACCTAAACGTAGCTATATACAAGCGAAACAACGTCGCCTACGCAAGTCCCGCAGGACACACGTCCGTGACGTCAACGGTGCGCGGCACCCGAAGCACGCCAAGGACGTGCAACGAAACGACCTCCGTCGTTTCGGATGGCCTGCCCTTCCGGGCGTACTGGCCAATAGCCAGCCACGGTCCCGAGGACGCGTGGAAACGGAGCTCCGAGAGCTCCGGCTCGCAGGACGACCACGTCGCTCCTGCGAGAAAGCCAAGTTCCCAATGGACACTTGGACGAAGGAGCGCGAACGCTCTAGGACTGCGACCGAGCCGCTCCAAAACCGCCAAGGCCCCCTACGGACACTTGGGCAATAAGAGAGCTCGAAGCTCCGAGGAGACGGTCGAGTCGCTCCTAAGATCACGGCAACGCCGTGAGTCCGAGATCACAAAACGAGATTCGAACCATTTGCCTCAACCCAGCAGGGTGTATCGGCGCCACCTTCAACTCAGCAGAGTCTATAGAGCAGTGGTTCGAATCTGAACGAAATACCGATCGCCCTAGGAAGCGCGTCGGTAATCACCAGTACACGATGTACTAACGCGTAGCACTACTTGCTACCTAAACTGGCCAGGCAGAAGACAAGACAAGGCCAGGCCCAGGCATCGCGCGCCTGGTTATATATCCGGGCGGTCGAATCTTGCCCGCGGGCAGCGGAATCGCGAGCCGCGCCGTGTAGCGGCCGCGGTTGGACCTAGTGGGGGTCCCGCGCGCTCGCTCGCGAGAACCCGAGTCCCCCGCTGCCAGCGAGAACGCCCCGGGCACCAGGCCGCCCGCCCTGCAGCGTTGACTCGCACCGACTATCCGTACAGCACGTGATGCTGTACGGAACAGGGACATCCAATGATATCAAACTTGACCTCCCACCCCACCCCCTGGGGGTGGGGGTTGGGGGCAACTTTGAAATCTTAAATGGAAACCCCCATTTTTATTGCAGATATGGATTCTACGCCACAAAATACGTAAATTTTGTCCGAAATTTTTTTTTTGATTCGTGATAGATGGCGCTGTAATCGCAAAAAATTATATTTTCCGCAATTCTCCAGAAATGATCATTGGATTGAGAAATAAAAAATACCTGTTCAATATTTTTAAATTAACAAGTGCCAACAACTCGTGAAAACATGGTAGAACGCATAAGAAATGCTTGCGCTGAAACTCTCGCAGATATGCTTCTATCCTGTGTACAGTCATTTGAAAAAAGGATCAATAAGTGTATTGAAGTTGAAGGTAAAAATTTCGAACACTTACTCTAATTAATTGAACAGTGAGAGGCAAGGGGACTCACATTAAAAAAGCACCCCGATCTGTGAGAGGCAAGGGGACTCACATTAAGAAAGCACCCGAAGGGAACATAAAACTACTACGTCCTCGTCGTTGTTCCTGTGTAACGCTAAAAGTAGTTTCTCGGAAAAATTCAACGCTATCTATCACGAATGAAAAAAATTGTTTCAATAAAAATTTCACGTACAATCTAATTCTGCAATGAAAAATGTGGGTCCCCATTTGAGATTTGAACGTTATCACCCACCCTACCCTGAGAGGATGGGGGGGAATAACTTTTATTATGTTCTTTAAAAATATTGAACAGGTATTTTTTATTTCTCAATCCAATTATCATTTCTGGAGAATTGCGGAAAATATAATTTTTTGCGATTACAGCGCCATCTATCACGAATCAAAAAAAAAAGTTTCGGATAAAATTTACGTATTTTGTGGCGTAGAATCCGTATCTGCAAAAAAAAATGGGGGTTTCCATTTAAGATTTCAAAGTTGCCCAACCCCCACCCCCAGGGGGTGGGATGGGAGGTCGAGTTTGGTATCATTGGATGTCCCCCTTCGAGACTAACAACTTTCATTAACCACTTTTTTTTATCCAATGCATAGTTCTCGAGATATTTTATTGTCTTCAGATAAATCGTGCACCCTGTATAATATACGGCGGTCTAATTTTTCTAAATATTCGTATAATTTTAGTCGTGCCTGCGCCGTCGTGTAGGCCACTATTACTACATTTGTCATCGAAGAAGGTACGAGCGCCTCTTGTCGCAGTCGCCACGTGACGTAGATCACGTCGTCGTTTACAGGCAAAATATTTATTATTTCATGCTCGGGACTTGTGAGCAAAGATAATAAATGTTCTCGCGTTCTAACAATCTCTGTATTCGGTAGATTAGAACGTTGACCGAATTTTCCCCAGAAGGAATTCAGACACAACTTTGCAACCGAGCATAGACCGGGATTCCGCACTATATTACTCCTATCGAGAACAACCCCCTCAATTTCTTTATACTCCCTTAAATAATTTTCTTTTGCGTTCTCGTTCGTTATCGGTTCGGCCAACCGCTGGTCTCCTGCTTAAGCTGTAGGAAACAATTAATATATTCGGCAAACAATCCGCCCTGCCGTATATTAGGATCGTATTGTGAGATTTTATAATTCCATATCTCGCTCACAGATGTCACACGATAGCCTTTCTCAATGGCTTTTCGTAGCTCGCAAGAGACCCAAGTGCCTTCGAATTCACGATCGGCTGGATTCTCATGTGTACACGCTATTTGAGAGAATGTTTCACAGCAGCTGCGACAGAGTGCGAACAATAATTTACCTTGCGTGCGAAACGGTAGTACGGGGTGAAAGAGTTCGCGTGGTGCGAGTACTCTGCATTGTACGAGTCCTTCCACCGTAGTAAAGTTAAAATCAGGAGCCACACCGATTAAGTTGGAACACTCTTCGCCCACGTAAACTTCCGGATGTCTGATCGGAAAAGCGCCTGTCTTCAGCACATAGGGGTATAGAGAGCATACATCAACATAACGTATCTTCTCATCCCCCGTAACTTCGTACCGCGTGACGATATTCCCTGTGCGACCCCCGAAGAATGCGTCGCGAGGATCGAGGGGCATGGTTCGTAGCATTGGGTGATTTTCTACAAACTTCACGTTCATCCAGTTTCATCGTATCTGGTGAGAAATACCGAATATCCGGTAATGGGCCGGTGTAATATTGGTTTTCGACGGTATTAAACAAATGAGGGAATAATTCTTTGCCTGAAATATCCTTCAACCCGAAAGCTTTTGGCAACATTGACAATCGCATCGGCATATAATTAATGCTGTCTATGAATTTAGTTTGACCAACGGTTAATAGTATAATTTTCGTACCGTTTAAAATAAGTTTTGGCTCAACGTAGTTGTTACTTTCGACCAGGTAGCGGAGAATAAATTGAGAGTCGAACGCGCTAGCGTTATGTGCTATGCAAATGATCTGTTTGAAGCTCTTCGTTGGTCTCGTGACAAAATCGACAAATTGCTTCACCGGATCATTGCGAAATATTAATTCACGCACGCCACACCAACGACAGCGCACCGTCATGTCGTCTATCTCCATACAGGAATCACATATTTGCTGTGCGACACAAAGTGTAACCACGTGCGTTTTAACATTTTCGCTGCCTTCGACCACATCATCCTGCCGTATCTCAAAATCATAAAACACAAATGCGACGCGACCTTTCTCGCGTTCGCTCGTTTCTACGTTCTTTTTTATTATTTTCATCCCCCGTTTCAGTTTCAGTTTCACTAGTATTTTCCGCTCGCGTTGGATTTTTCGATAATCCGTCGGTGTGACGAAGCGGGCGCATGAAACAGAGGTGGTTCAGTAATTTTGACGACGCGCAAATACGGCAATAAATCATACCACATTTATGTTTTTTTCTTGAGTTTTGTAAACGACCGCATTTGTTGCAAATCCGGAGAATGCTACAGATACTCGATGTTGTCTCGACGTTGTATGACTTTGGGGCTCGATGTCGTTCGAAGCATGCGCTACCGTAAAACGCCCGTTGACACATGCTACAATAGATTAGTTGAACCGTTTCTTCACACGACGGAACGGCGAAACACCGGAGACACGCATTTGAACACCGATGTCCCCTTTCAGGTTTATATCCACGGTTGCAACGAACGCAATAACCCCTACTTCCACTAGCAGCTCTTAAATTCAATATTGGATTAAAGTGGCGACTGCGTTCGTAATACATGATATTTAGTTTATGCCTAACCGCGCGACCTAGAGAGACGAGCACCCCGCTGCCATCGTATAACGGTGGCGCACCACGAGCAAAAGAGCTAAAATTATAAACAGTGATCATCGTATCGTACCTTGCGAGATGGAGTTGGAAACGTTCGAACTCTGGAATGCTACACCCTTCATCGGGTTTCGGAACGCCAGCTTTCCGCGTGAGTTCGAGTGCTAGCTCTCGCTGCATCACAGAATTCTGTTTTCTCACAGCATTCCATTTTGCGTGAAGCTCCCCAGTGCGCACATTCCCGCGTTCGCTATAAATCATCGCAGCTACAAGCGAACGCGGGAAACATAGATTATCTGTATTGTTTATAATAAGGATCAAACGTTTCGCAACCCCTTCATGCGTTAATTTGTTCGGTTTTGCGCCTTACTCCGAAGGTAACGTGACATTGAAAACATTAACAGTAAAATGCTCCAGTATATCGTGACCTCCAGCGCCTTGAACTAGCGAGCTCACAAGAT